TTCCATTTGGGAGAGTATGTAAGAATGATGTATGGAATAATCATGTTAAAAAAATTTCAAATGTTTTTAGTCTTTTCGAGAAAAGATCCTTGTCTATTTTCGGCAGAGCTATCGTATGTAATACTTTGGCATTAGCAAAACTTTGGTACGTTTACTCGGTGGTTGTTTTTATCAAGTTTCATATTGCAGATGAAACCGTTCACTGGCTGGCGTTTCCAATTTCCTTGTGTAGACATGTAAATGGGCCGAAGCGTTTTGTCTCAGAATTTCAAAGCGCTGGCCGTTGAGCGGTAAGTACTTTGCTGTTGAATATTTTTGTATATTACGTTTTAACCCTTTTTATTTTTCAGGTGTTGCATGTTCCTGTCGCGTGTTTTTAGTGTATAGTTGTTGTATATTTATTTCATACTTGTTTTAATAAAATTATTCAAACAGAAAAAAAAAGTATCTGTTCTGTACCCCATCGGGGTACTTCGATATTAAACTGATTTTTGGACCTAGATGGGGTGCCCGGAGCTTGCTCCGCCCTCATCACGGGTTGCCCTGGTATTGCAGTACTTCCAGGCGTGGCCCACCCTCATAATACAAATTAAAAGAATTACCCCTTCTACCATGCCAGCTTGCTACTAGCATATGCCGTACACCTTCCAGAAGTGGGAAATAGGCGTGTGCTTCACAGCTCTGCTGAAAATCGACGTTTGCCCTACGTCTCACACTGCTTGTGCAAACCAGAATATTATAGAACGTAATGCTCTGCTAAATGTATCGAAATGGGTTGCACTGGCATTTGCGTAGCCTGAGTGCAAAAGAAAGAAAGAAAGAACGAACAAACGTTGTTCACAGAGAAGATCTTCTTTCTATGTCCTTATTTTCCTTTTTTTTTCTTTTTTTTTTAAAGAACGACCGTGTCGAGACCATCGCGGAAAGATACAAATTTATATGAGGTCCCAAACTGACTCTAAACGGGCATCGCTTCTCGGCCTTTTGACTAAGATCCAAGGTTTGTCACAGCCGGTTATACGTTTGCATTGGATAAGACGCTGTGAGAGAGATTTGAGTATTTTCAACCTGACCAACACCAACTTTCATCATGAGTGAGATATTGAGTAAGATCGAGCTAACTGATGCAGATATTGATAATGACAATGTGAACAGAAACGTAAAGGTTAGGATTGAAAGACCAGGCAACATATTGACAGGAAGGGAAATGGTTTTCAGTGCGGTCAAGCAAGCTCTACGTATTAAATACAACAGCGCCATTGAGGTATTATGGAAACTTATAGAATAGAGGACAGAATAGAGGAATGGTTTGTCACCTTATCAACGAAAGAACATGCTGACAATTTGCTGCAAGTCAAGACAATTAAGGTACAAAATATTTTATTTCACTTTTATTTCACAATGAGAAAATATAATACATATTTTTAATGATGTAGAGGACTGAAAGAACTCAAGTGCCTGTAAAATGGCAATGAAATGAAATGAAATGTATTAAGGAGCATTAGCACCAAACGGGCTATATAGCTCCAGAATACGTTAAAATAATAAAAAACTAAAACAATAAAACACCTATCAATATCACATAAAGGGCACATAGTGATAACAAAAAAGACGATAAAAACCATATCACAGAAAAAGTCATTTAATGACTACAAAAAAAAAAACACTAAAAACAATATCTAAAAACAAATAATACACCACATGGTGGTATTAAAAACCAACAAAACATTTAATAATTAAAATAAAGACCTGCTTGTTTTAAAAAAGCCACTACCTTCTCATAAAGAGAAGGTTGCGCAAAAAGCTGAAATACAGAAACAGCACGGTAGTGCTGTGATCTTATAGGTTTGAGATGCTTACACTCAATCAGAATGTGTTTCACTGTTGTAAAATGGCAATGAGTTCTGCTGTGAAAATGGAGGCTGCTGATGGTAAAGCTACAGATAGAACTTCGGATGGTGTAACTGTAGCGGCTGCTACCTTATCCCCATCCTTAGATCCATCTGTATAGAAAGGTGAGTAATCCCCATATTTAGACCTCAGTTCTAGAAATTTAGATTGAAACACTATAGAGCTTGTCTTAGTTTTCTTATTACTGAAATGGAGCAATCGACCAATCGAGTTGTGGTCATTACGAAGTCCGCAATAGTAATACTGTCGTGGCTGATACCAGCCGCTGACATACGTGGTTGAATGCGGACACCAAAAGAAGACATAGGACGAGGCTTTGCCTCGTACCAATGTTCAAAGTAAGGTCTACGGGGCGGTAAGCAGGATGATGTGGTAAAGATGCTATTTTAATGGTGTACTGTAATGAAAGTCTGCCCAGTCTGTCGTACAATGAGGGCTCATTAGCCTCGACGTACAGACTTTCAACTGAAAATGAAATGACATGAAATGCATTAAGGAGCATCAGCACCAAACCTATATAATGAAAAAACTAAAACAATAAAACATTTATCAATATCACATAAAGGTCACATTGTGACAAAAAAAAAAAAAAACAAACAAAAAAACAAAAATAAACGATAAAAACCATATCACAGAAACAGTCATTTAATGATTACAAAAAAACACTAAAAACAATATCACAGGTAATACATCACATGGTGGTATTAAAAACAAACAAAATATTTAAAACAAACAATGACTTATCTATTTAAAATTTCAAAAAAAGACCGGCTTTTTTTATAAAAAAAAAAAGAGAAGGTTGCACAAACAATTGATGCAAAGATCCAACACGGTAGTGCCGGGATCTCAAAGGTTTGAGATGCTTGCACTCAAGCTAATACCAAAATGATGGCCTGACCGACTTGCCCATTTACCAAAAAACATACCTTTAGTCTTGGACAGATTCAGTTTTGCTCCAGATGCCCCATCATAAAGTCGGCACACATCAAACACTTTCTGGATGGAAGCATCCGTGGTGCAAATAATAGTCGTATCATCGGTATAAACGGTAAACGGAAAGTTTGGCAGTAACGGAAGGAGTTCCAGGAATGGTTAGACCAACTATTTCAGGGTCATTACATATGCGAATTAAAAAGGGTTCCAAAACAAGTACATTCATAAGCGGGGAAAGAAAGACTACAACCCTTTCTAACTGATTTGAAAAGGGCTTGAAATATGTTGGTTAACGATAATCGATGATGAAATATTAGAGTAGAGGATTCTGATCCATTTTTAAAATCTCATGTGACACTCGGTCAAAGTCCTGGTCCAGGCAGATAAATGCACAAGGCAGATTCCTCTCCTTAACATAGTCCACAACAGATCTCAACAGGTGTGCATTCTCCATGATTGATCTGCCCGGAACAGCACAAGTCTGATCCAAGCCAACATGTCCATAACATCCCCTAGCCTAGTAGCCAAAACCTTCGGGATGCCCAAGATCCTTACACAAAAAATTTATGTATGAAAAACTCTGGGAACTAGTTAATGTTCCAGAAGCAAAAATTAAATTGTAAAGTCGAACCAGAACATCAAAATTGGCGAGATAAAATTCCTTAGTTAATCCATCTGGACCAGGAGATTTTTCACTCTTCATCCCTTTAAGGGCAGCTAAAATTTCAGCTTTGGAAATTTCACTTTCAAGAGATTCCTTGACAGATTGTTCCAAAACGGGCAAATCTGACGAAAACTCGCGAGCCTCAGAAAAGTCAGTTTCCTCCTCCGAAAATAAGGTTGAATAAAGGCTCTAAAAGAGCACATGATCGTGCTGTTGGTGGTAAAAAGTCAACCCCCCTCCTAAATACAAGTAATTGTCTTCTTGGCAGCACGGTCATGCTCCTTCTTCAAGAAAAAACGAGACGGTCTTTCCTGATTCTCGATAGCATTTGACTTTGACCGAACCCGAGCACCATCCAGTTTTTCATCCTCCAGGCAGCGAAGCAGATGTTTTATTTCCGAAATGCGACTACAGAAAATCCCCAGAGTCAACAACTCGCGCTCAGCTAAAGTCCTATACTCTGCTCGTAAAGCAGAAACTTCAGAATCTCTCTGTAAATATGTTTTTCTTTGATATTCCTTGCAAAAAGTTTTAATTTGAATTTTAAAGATGTCCTAATTCTCTAAAGAAAGATCTTCAGCAGAAACTAGGTATGCAAAAGTATTAAAAAATAAACGGAAATCATGATTAAAATTAAAAGAAGTTACACCCAAGTTATTGCACTTCCAATAACCCTTTCCGATTGAAATGTCAGGGTTTAAATTAACAGAAAAAGAAATACAGAGGTGATCAGAAAATATCAAAGGATGTGACTTAAAACCATAAGTGTTAGATAACAAATCAGACTTGACATAAAACCTATCCAGTCTACAAGCAACTGACGAGCTGCTCCAGGTTGGACAGATTAGCTTGGATTATGAAATCTAAAAACATCTTTAAAATCAAATGGTTGTACAACATTTTTAAACTCAACAGCACTGGATGATTTACTTCTAATATTACCGCCAGTCTTATCCAAATCATTATTCAAAATAAAATTAAAATCCCCACCTAGAAAAATTCGTCTTGAAGATACAAGAAACTTATCCAAACTATGAATAAAATCTTTCCTCTCTGACGATTTGTTTGGGCAATAAATATTAATGAAACGGATTGAACATTCATTGGAATCAATATCCAAAATAACTAATCGACCATCTAAATCAAAATGAAAATGATTGATTTTACAATTAAGTGATGAAATTAAAAGAATAGCAGTACCAGAGCTGCGATTTGATCCAAAGGACCAGAAGCTCTTATATTGCAAAATGTGCTCAAAACGTCTTGCAGTTTGAATGTTTGAGACATGTGTCTCTTGTAAAAAAAATAACATCAAACCGCTCAAGGTTTAAAAAATTATGTAAATAATGAATTTTATTGGGCCCTTAAAGACCATTGCAATTAATTGAAGCTATTCTCAGCGCCATCTTTACAATTTATGATTTTTTGATATTTTTATATATAGTATAACTGAAAGGTAACAATTGAAAGGTGAAAAGATAAAATTCGAGAATCATGTAATGTCCCCCTCCAAAGAGGATTCATCACTAGATCCAGCTATATCACCATCAGTACACTGACCTGGTGTAATACCCCCAGCGTTAGACAATTCCTCGTTTATGCGCTCTACATCAGCTATATTTTCATTAGCTTCCCTTGTTAAATTTCCCTGCATACCTGGACAAGAAACATCAGTTTCAGTACCCAAGCTGTCAATGTGGCTTATCCTAATATCAAACGGGTTTGAAGTTTTTAAAACAGACCTAGATGACTTTGAAAGAACACCACTTGCTCCTGCCGCTGCAGAAACCAACTTAGCTGATTGAGTGTTAACATTTTTTTATTCGGGGGAGTAGGCGGCTGAAAAGCAAATTTCTTGGTCGAAATTGTCTCTTGCGGAGAATGGTTCTCAACACTTAAAAGAATTAAATTGGATTCCGTTGACGTTAGCTTGTTGGCGATATTTTTGAGGGTAAAGAAGCCATCTCCATCCACCCTAACATGAGTAGAAGAAAGAGGAGGAGAATCTGCAGGACTAAGCCTAGAGGCTTTGGCAATTAAGGTTGAAGCTTGGACAAAACCCAAACGTCCTTTCCTTGAACCAGCACCAATACCGACACCAGCACTAGCATCAGCACCACCAAGAGCACTAGTACCAACACTAGCATGATTATTGACACTAATACGAGACGAATTGACCGCACTTGCATAATATGGCTGTTTCCCTAAAGGACATTCCTTTCGGAGATGCCCTGCTTTATAGCATTTCAAACAAATGGGAAGCCTTCCGTGCAAAATTAACAAAACGTCTTTCTCACAAATTGATGATGTACGAGGAAGACTGTCATATGCTGCTGCCTTTCCAAAAAGAGTAATTCTTCGCGTCAGGGCTTTAATATGAGAGAATACTCCCTCTCAGAAAGTATCACTGTAAGGCCAAAACTAGTGAAAAATTTGGCAATGTCAGTGTCCGAGACATATTCAGGTAACCAAAATAATCTTACTATCAGTCTTGCCTGATCAACACCAGATAAAGAGTGTTTTTCCCGACAGTAGCATATGTAATATTGTCTGACAAAAACTGAACTGGTTCAAACGTTTTAAATGTCACCTGAAAAGTCTTTGGTGGTCTACCAGATCCCATTGACTCAATACAGTCAGGATCAACATCATTATTTTAAAAAAAATCAACGAATTCGTGCCCATACACGAAAGAGCTGCCAGTAGTGTGAACTGGACAGTTCGGCGCTGTGTGCATGTTTTATCCACGAAACATACACACACTGATGGTAACTTAAACCTAATCAAAATAACCCTAACAGGCCTTAGGTTGGCTTGGCGGGCCGTCGGAGCACAAGTGTCCGACCCTTACCACCGGAACAATAAAAGAAACCTTAATCAATAATCAATAACTTGTTTCTCTATTGTGGCTTATAACGAGGCGTTCTCCCTGCGCATTATGCCGGATACTGATCCTCAATATTTGGAGAAAACCCAAGCGTAATAAGAACAGGTACTTTTTTCTTTTTTAATAAGTTTATTCAACAATAAACAACAATAAAAAAGCATAAAAATTACAATATAAACTTGATCTGTATCACAGCACCTGAAAAAATAAAAAACATAATACAAACATACAATAAAATTTTGAATTTAGATAGCAAACTACTTACCGCGCAACCGGCTGCGCTTCCAATTCCTAGACCCGACACTTTGGTCCATTTACAGGTCTACTCAAGGGAATTGAAAGCGCAGGCGGGTGCGCAGTTCCAATAACTGCAGTTCAAATAAATAAATTAAATGTATGCGATTGATTAATTGGTTTGTGCTCAAATTTTTTTAAATTCCTGTTGATACAAATAGCGTACTTAAATTCCGCCATCAGGATCAACACTAAAGAAAGAACTGTAGCTGGTATTTTGGGTAAAACCATAAAACGAATGTGATCGAAGGTAAGATTTTTAATAACCCCGTGGGTAAGTATATTTATCCATTCATTGATTTTATTCAATAATGGTTTTACTTCTATACAGTTAAAAAATAAATGTTCAATATTCTCTATGCCCGCATTGCACAAAACACAATTTTTATATTTGGAAAGATGCCTGGCATAAAGGCGATCTGCCAAAGGAAGGACATTATGTATCAATTTGAAAGAAACATCCTTCGTCACGGGGTCCACATCCTTGTCATGAAGATGTTTAAAGACTGTTCTAAAATTGACAGTCGAATTATCCCCAACTACAGTTGGCACAGAAACGACGTCTAAAAGGAGAACATCATATATGGATTTCGTGGTGAGTTTATTAAAATTAATATCGATATTATTTTTTTCGGCAATGGTTAAAAATTCTAAAAAATTGGAATAAGCATATTCATAAAATACAGGTAAAAAGAATCCATGGGGCTGGCTGTTGCTCCAAAGAGTGGGGTTATATTTCCTCAGCTGTAACCCCAGCCAGAATTTCAGCCAAGAACACCACTTGGTACTGGAACCCAGAAAGCCTCGCACTATATGCATAATGCGGATGGCCTTCAACTTAGAAGAGATGTGAATGATCCCAGAGCCCCCAAGAAGTTTACTGGAATACATTACATCTCTTCTTACAGGCTCGTTCCTGGAGGGCCAAATGAACTCGAAACATAGTCTTTGAACTCTATCAACGAAACTCTTAGGTAGGATGAGGACTGAGCCTACATACCACACCTTTGACAAAGCTATCATGTTACAAATTGTAGACCTGCCGAAAAGTGATAGGTGTCTAGATTTGAACAGATTCAAAGAACTACGAATCTTATCCAAAAGCTCCCTCCAAAAACGAGTGGCGTCACCGAAAGGAACACCCACCAGCTTAGTACCCTCTATCCAGCTTATGCCGAAGGGATGGTCAGCACGGTTCGCCCATTTACCAAAGAATAATCCTTTAGATTTAGACAAATTAAGTTTAGCACCAGATGCTCTACCGTAGAGCTGACAAACGTCAAAAACTCTCTGGATAGAAGCATCTGTAGTGCAAATAACCGTGGTATCATCGGCATAAACGGATAGCTTGGCAATAACCGTTGGACAGTCCGGAATAGCAAGACCAACGATCTTCGGATCCTTACGGACACGAAACAAAAAGGGTTCCAATACCAGGATGTAAAGCAGTGGTGACAGGCTACAACCCTGACGAACAGAGCGTGTAACCTGAAATGACCGAGAAATATGCTAGTTGACGATCACAGCCGAGGAAATATCACTGTATAAAATTCGTACCCACTTTTGGAAATTAGCCCCAAAATTAAAATGTTTTAAAGTTAAAAATAAAAAAATCATGGCTGACCCTATCAAAAGCCTTCTCCTGATCCAGACAGACGAACGCTAAAGGTAAGTTTCTCTCCTGAACATAGTCCACAACTGAACGCAACAGATGACCATTGTCGAGAATTGATCTTCCTGGAACAGAACAGGTCTGGTCAATCCCGACAATGTCATCTAAAACCCTTCCAAGTCTTACAGATAAAACTTAAGACAAAATCTTGTAGTCTATGTTCAGGAGAGATATAGGGCGCCAATTCTTGACGCTCTCGGGATGCTCAAAGTTCTTGCAGAGTAAAGTTATGTAGGATAACTTCTTAGAAGATGTTAACGACTCTGCATCATAAACAAGATGGTAAAGCTGAACTAGAACATCGCCAAGAACGTCAAAATTGGCAAGATCATCCAAGGAAGGCAAATCCTCAAGGAAACTATAGGCTTCTTGTAAGTCAATATCTTCCCTAGAAAACAAAGATGAATAAAAGTTACTAAAAGAAGATATGATATCCTTATTGGTGGTATGATAATTATTCCCGTCTATTATTTTAGTTATATGTTTTTTTACAGCACGATCCTTTTCTTTTTTCAGGAAAAAGCGAGAAGGGTTTTCATG